ATTCTCAATCATGAGTGCTGGTGGTAACAAAAAATCCCCTGTATAATAAGTACCAAATATGATACGAAATTTCTTATATTCAATATTATTCTCAAAGCTTTATTTTGCAACTTTGAGAATACAGCTTCATTGGCAGTGAACAAGATAGTTGAACAATATAGTAAATGCGGTAGAATAATATTGTATTATAAACTATTTTTTCAGAATATCCAATGCGAATACGTAATTTGTTTTTTTTGCAATTTTCGAAATAATGTATTCATAGAGATCCTCAAACTCTGGTTTACTATCAATATACAGGATGTTTCCATAGTTGTATGCTCCTGTATACGTCAAGGCATCGATAGAATGAGATGATCGATGTCTGGTTGTGGCACCTCATTCCAAGCAACTCGAACTTCGTGGATTAGCTGATGCAAATGGTGCAAAAAAGCTAGTCTGCTCCCCATCATTTACTATATTGTTCAACTATCTTGTTCACTGCCAATGAAGCTGTATTCTCAATCATGGGTGCTGGTGGTAACACAAATCCCCTGTATAATAAGTACCAAATATGATAGGAAATTTCTTATATTCAATATTATTCTCAAAGCTTTATTTTGCAACTTTGAGAATGCAGCTTCATTTGCAGTGAACAAGATAGTTGAACAATATAGTAAATGCGGTAGAATAATATTGTATTATAAACTGTTTTTTCAGAATATCCAATGCGAATACGTAATTTGTTTTTTTTGCAATTTTTGAAATAATGTATTCATAGAGATCCTCAAACTCTGGTTTACTAGCAATATACAGGATGTTTCCATAGTTGTACGCTCCTGTATACGCCAAGGCATCGACAGAATGAGATGATCGATGTCTGGTTGTGGCACCTCATTCCAAGCAACTCGAACTTCGTGGATTAGCTGATGCAAATGGTGCAAAAAAGCTAGTCTGCTCCCCATCATTTACTATAACTATCTAAAACTGTAATGACTCATCGATGTTCACGTGAACATCACTTAACTACCAGTAGTCGGCTGTTCATAGGCGGGGTATGAATGTTTAACATGGGTGAACTAGATTTGTCACATGCTTAATAAAGAGTGGTTTGGAACATATTGTAAGTCAAAAATTTGGGAATTACTTTTATTCATCGTCGCTTCCACTCTGACAGTAATAAACTGTCGCTATCGCTTTCCTCGTTGAAATTGACTATAACTGGCTCTATGATGGTGTCGATGTGGTGGTCACGCTGCCACATTTTTGTTTCTTCCTTCGCAACATGACGGATAGCATTCTGCCAAGCTTCGGGCGTTACTAGCTGTATGGAAGTCTCAAGTAAAACCTTAACGTCTGATAATTTAAAGGTTGTGTTATGGCGCGCAATATAACCCTTCACTTGAGCCCAGATGAGCTCTATTGGGTTCAGTTCACAGTGGTAGGGCGGTAACCGCAGCACAGTGACACCACGTTGACGGGCCATCTCATCAGTCACGTAAGTTCGCAGGTTTGTGTTTAATTTTTTCATACAATTCCGCTTTCACACATGAATCGTCAAACGGGATTCCTTTTTCGCGCAACCATTGCTGCATGTCACTTTTTCGAGATCCCATAGTCGGTACACGTTCGGCTCGACGACTATGGTAGGAAGCATTATCCATGACGATCACAGAGTTGGGCTCAACTCGCTGAAGCACCCCTTGAAAACAGCTCCCGAAGCAGCTGGCATTCATTTCGTCATGGTAATCACCTCCTTTCTTAGAGATGAAAATCAAGTCACACTCTTCTAAAAAGCCACTATCGCTACCAATATGAGTTACGATCAATCTTTGACCTTTCCCTGACGGTCCACGAAGACCTGTTGACAAACCTTCAATGCTTGCTTGTCGGTTACTCACTACGTTTTTGTCTGTCCAGGTTTTTTTAACTGTGTGACCTGCATTTACCCATGTCTCGTCCAAATAAAAGATTTTTCTGCTTTGTCGCCTATATTCAATCATTTCGCGTAGGTATTTCGGCGCCAGGCGACTATTTCAGGTCTCTCTACCAATACTGACTTCCGATTACGCGTTTCGTAACGAAAATTAATTTCGTGTAGGGATTTCCTCATTACCTCGACGCTCATTTGGGGTATAATTTCATTTTCCTTGATCGCTGCATGTACAGCCTTGAGGATTGGTATCTCATTCCTAAAGAAGAATGAATGTACGGTTCGCCTTAACGCCATTTTGCTATCGTCATCCAATTTAACGGCCTTTCGTCCCTTCAAATTAAACTTTGGATCAGTAGTAGCTCCAGTTTTCTTCGTTTCATGCACCACCCTGCGAATGGTCCACTCTGGAACGCCTCTCATACTTTCACAACGCGCGAGTGCATCTCCCTGCGACATAGTTCTGTTCAGATAATTGAACACGTTGAGCACGATTTCTTTCTCGTCCCTCTTCAGTGCTTTACGAAGCCGTCTACTTGTTCCCTGGCTTTCAGTACTTCCACTCGTGCCATTTGTACTCTCCATGGTTAAATATAACCAAAACAGTAACCACAGAAACCGCAACAATAACAATCACACGACAATTCTTATAAAAACACACAATATGCGATCGCTCAACGAAACACGTTCCAATGCGTTACCGACGCCTATGAGTCTGCCGGTCGAGGCGCGTCTTTGATTTCATTGGTTCTACCGGCGGAGAACAATCAGCCATTATTTCCATCTCTGTCTGTGCTGTTGACCACCGCAAAGCCACAGAAACGACATATGTTGTACGCTATACGGCTGTACTGGAAGGAAGCCGGGATCGAGCTCTGATCACGTGTTGACCACGCGTATGAGTCATTACAGTTTTAAATAGTTGTAGTATATATTGTTCAACTATCTTGTTCACTGCCAATGAACCTGTACTCTCAATCATGAGTGCTGGTGGTAACAAAAATCCGAATCAAAGACCGCTACACTAATGAGCTTCGCTTTTCATAAAAAAATCGAGTGGGAAATCCCTCCCACAAATGCAAGGTTTTCGCCTGGCCTACACACAAAATTCCTTACCATCTAATCATATTTGCTTTATTGCAGGTAAGGCCAGCAGCATCTCGACGAAGTGCGTGAAGAAAGAACCAGTATGCGTTTTGCCGATCGATAGGCCGATGAGGAACCGCGTACGAAGCGAGAAGAGCGATTTCGTGTACGACATGAAGACGGCGAAACTAAACAAACTCCGAACAAAGACAAAGAACGGTTTAATCGTCGCAACTGCCGCCGCCTCTACAAAATCAACAAACACGTCCAAAGGCTTGAAAAGTATTAAGGTTTACACAAAAAAGCAGAAGTAGCATTTTCCAGCATGTTTGATGGAAATTACATATTTTTTTATTAGATATAAAGAGTATCAGAAATGGATGATATCATATTATAGAAGCTCAAATGGAGTATTTGCATGTGACAGCGCGGTCTAAGGCTGGAATAATTTAACCATGTGATGTTCATATGAATTGTTTATTTGATTTGTTTGTTGTTGAACGCGTCTAGAACTTAGCTATCGATGATAGTATTGTCATAAACGTACTTTGAATTTTATTATTTGAAGAAAATATGTTTTTTTTTCAACGAGCGTTTCTTTCTGAAAACGTAGATGGGTGATTATCATGAAAGGTGATTCAATCGATCTAATTTTGTTCAGAAAAAAAAATCGAGTTTTTCCAATATCTGTTGCAATTTCGCGGAGAAACATCATAAGATATATTTGATTAGGTATATAAGGTCAAACAGTTTACCTATTGGTTTTTGAAATTATGAGGATTTCGAAAAAATATAAATCACGGAGGTGATCACCTCTCACGGATGTGAAAACTACTTCATATAATTGCAAACTCATGTTTAATTGGTTTATATTCTAGTCCTTTATTCGAAAAAACGATTATATAAATGTAAAAGAGCATAATTATTTCAGTTTAAAAGCATAGCTAAAGGCAGATTGTCGTCTTCATCCTCCGACGATGATAAATAAATCTCAGAGTATATCAGTCTTCTTTTTGCATGTGCTAATAATCAGTTAAGGAAAAATGAGGAATTAGAAAATATTTGAAAATGCCAAAATAATTTGATAAAAAAGGATACTTTGCTGCAATTGGTAAGTTCCAAAGGAATAATGAGAACAAACTTTGGATGAGATAGGTGAGCTTTCGAATATCTAGGAACGTATATGGTTTCACCCAAACAACCTCATGGCACTGTAAAATTCCGGTATACGGTGGCAGTATTTTAGGTATCGTCTTTTCAATTTTGTCATGCTCTGCATCATCTATCTGAACTTCAGAGAGAATGACACCTTTACAGTTTGCTTTCAAATGGAACAAAAAAGATTATAGGTTAGATATGTCTATTCCTCGAGCCACCATAGCATCAGCTGTGCGCTTTAAGACTCCACCTACTCCATCTGGAGCTCGCTTGCCATGACCTTTCTCACTATAATGCCACCGTAACTTTTCTACATTTAACTCGTTCGTAATGAAGCTTGCCATCAAATTGAACATCTTTCTGTTCCGATATTGGGTTGAGGGTCCGTCGCTTAAAAAATGAACGCATTTCAAATTGCCTACAAAGGTTTTGAGTTTTTTAAAAACGGGAAGTAGATGGGCGCAAATTGCCACAGGATCATGCCGCAAACTTTTGGATACTGTACAGAAACATTTTTTTTGCATAGTATTGTTAGAGCTTCTATAATACACAACTACCGTGTGCAAGCTCAACTGCATTTTTGAGCCCCCAAAGTGGGCTGACCGGACTTCTTCAGCATATTTACATCCATAATTTTCGGAGAAATCCATATGTATTAGAACTTCTGTATTATCCATATTTTCTTTGATCTTCCGAATTTCTCTCATCTGGTGTTCTAAATTTTTTATATGCAAAAGAAAAGGCTGCAATGAATTAAGGAATGCTTGAAGAACCTCACCCTTAGTAGACATAAGCTTCTCCTTAAAAGTTTTTGTACACAACTTTTCTTTTCTTTTCACTACTATTGTAACCCGCTTTGTAACCCATCTCTCATGAACTATGGTGTCCGATCTATGAAATTCAGCTGTAACTACAGTTTTCTTCTTACAACTTTCGCATTTTCTTTCTAAACATATCTCTTCCAGTACTTCCCCTTCGCAACAAATGGCTCTACATACTTCTTCAGGAGAATTCTCTTTTATAATACTTGCGATTTTCAGCCTTCTAACGAGCAACCACATATTCGTGTGGATCATACAAAGGCAGGTATTTCGTTCTTCTATTTTTGGCTGTATAATCCAGAACGGGCGTAATCGACAGAAGGTTGTGTAGCTAATTAGAAACTTATTTTCTTTTATAAATCGTCTATGTAAATTTCTGAGTGTATCATTTAGTAATCGTTTCTGCTTCTTATCATGTTTTCTTATAACATATTCGTTTTTGCCAGGGTAGAGCCTACTGCAGTCATCTTTTTCCAGGAAATTTTTTATTTGTTGCCTGATGAATTCCTGATTTATTAATCTCGTTTTAGATTTATCTTTTGAGGATGTAAATACAGACGCAGTTCTTTTCAAATAGCTTATTTGTTTGTACTTTTTTACAACATTTCCAGAAATATTTTTCCAAAATGTTCTTTTCTGTGCAGGATTTGTAAGAACCCGATAATTTTCTGGTAACTGTTTCGCTATAACTTCTGAAAATAACAGTTTTTTCTTAACAGCAGGAGAAACAGTTTGTCCCTTGATTAGTGCTTCCACTTTTTTTTCAGGCGAATCTATGTTTTTGTGCAGTCGCTTTTTTAATCTTTTTAGTCTCATTCTATATTTTTCCTTCTTTCTTTTCTCTTTTTCCAGTTTAACTTTTAACAAATCTATTTCTTTTCTTAGAGCCTTTACGTGTTTTCTTCTTCGTGACCTGCCTTGCCTCTTTCTTCCATCATCTCTTTCTTGAAGTATTTCATCATATGGTGCTTCAGCCATTAGTTCTTCCGGGATTGGAGTGGCAGGTGGTGAGTTTTCTTGTAATTTAACCTCGAGCTCCTTTGCATTTTTCTTTCCAAGATAGTGTTTTTTACTTCTATTCCGCCACTCTTTCCTTTGATTCCGTTTTTCTCTTTCTGACATTTGGTCAATGGTTTAAATTTGGCCTGCTTCTTTTCTCCGGTAATACCGTTCCCGTTCTTTTCGCTTGTCTTCTTCATACTTCTCTGGATCCTGTCGCCTTGATTCACGTAGCCTTCTCATAGCTTCGCGCTGCCTTCTTTTCTTTTCTTCGTGATGAGCTTTTGTATTTTTGTTCTGTACTTTTAAACGAGCCATGTTCTGAAAATGTCTGTGCATATATTATACTTCAATTCACTAAACCATTACGATGTCTCACCTCCGTGAAACTTGGTTCACCTCCGTGAACTGGTAACTTCACGGAGGTGAGGCTCACGGAAGTGAGGAATTACCATATTTTTCTTTAATAACTTGTTGTGAAAATGTCTTGCACAAGTAAATTTCAAACCAGCTCTAGTGGGAATATTATGTCACCTATCAATATTAAAACTACGCATTTTTCTTATTTACTTACCAAAAAAAACAAATTCACGGATGTGAGAACAACAAAGGTTCCACGTGGTTAACAAGTCTTAAACTAAAGAGAGAATCCGTCTGATCACTTTCAATCCCTAATATCGACTGAACGAAATAAGTCGTGGTTTGCTGTAACGCGATACAATGGCAGAAATTGAATAGTTCGTCATCTGTGAGCCGAAATCTGCATCAAAAAGTACGTCACGGAGGTGATACCTACTTTCCAGAACAGGGGTTGAGGGGCAAACAGTAAATTACATGATATTCCAAAAGAAAAGTTTTGTTCATATCTCTTCTACAAAAACAAATTCTGGAGATTCAAGATAAAACTTCTATAGATTTCTTCCTTAGTAATAGTTTTTATGTAGCCTTGTGATGGCAATGGTAAAAGAGAACAGTCACGGAGGTGAGGTTTTCATACGTTTTTTGGTTATAAATAAAAAAACAGAAATATTAAAGACTATGCACTTATTAGTTATGAATATTCCTTAACTTTAAAAATGTACCTCCATTATTAACACTTGGTTTTTTTTTATAAAATGATATTTTTTAACGAGTACTCAAAATTTTCACCTTTCATGATAATCACCCAGATGCGTATTCTGGGTATAAATCACCCATGTTACACATTCCTTTTGTTTTAAATAATACCACCTAATAGACGTTCATTGCGTAGCCGACAATGGCTTGAGTGGTGACTGATATTTTTTGTTTTGTTGCATAATTAATAGAATAATACTATCACCAGGAACTCGCGCACATGCTCTGATTTGGACACAAAATTCTATAGAAGTTCGTATGGTTCTTCAATCGTCGGACGCCACTGTAGTTGTCCAGTAGCTGAAGGGCTTTTGCATTGGGGTGTTGATGGCGCCTTTCTTCACCCCTGGCCGCTACTCGATCTCGTCGACAATCAGAGGGATATTCAAATCTCGATGACCATGTTCTTCGGCATGTTATTTTGGAAGCTTTGAACACTTTGGATGTTAGAGCTCTTGGAACAGCTCAATAGTTCATAATTTTGTTATGGAGCGATAGGACTTTTCAATCTTTACTGTGTAAAGCAAACTTTGATCGACTTGTCTTCGTCCAATTTGATTTTCCATCTCTGGGCCCATTTTACTAAATTATTGGTAATTGTCTGTACATTACTAACACAACTAATTTCTGTCACTGATTAACATTACTGTTTTGACCCTCTCTTACTAAAACGAACAGTTTTAAGTTTTTTCATTATTATTGCTAAACCGTGAAGTTTGTTCGATATTTCTATCTTGTAAAACTCGAATACTGAAAAACCCTTTAAAATTCGGTTATTTGTGATTGACGAGTTTTTGTTTATTTCCTGAAAAATTCAATTTGTATGACTTATGAGATTTTTCAAATGACATGCAACTGCACGTAACGATATTGAATGATACGTCAGAAAACCAACAATTTTTATTCAATTCACAACTAAATAAATTCCATACAGTCTCAAAGGTCCTATCAACTTAATTTTGAAGTCAGTACCTGATAAGATCCAGTAAACTTCTATGCATCCATATTTCCAGTTATGCAGAACATTGATAAAAATAATATTTATTTTCAAATTGTTCATTTTAGTAGTCTCGTATTACAAGTGAAATGTTCCCACAAACAGCGAATAACTATCCCTACTATTTCCAGCGACTGAGCTACAGGGTGGCCGATATGTAACTTGAATATTTGTGAAATGAAATAAAATACATCAATTTTTTTCATCTTAATATTTTATTGATACTTAGAAATTATGTATGAAAAATAATATCAAATGTCCGTTTCTAGAAGCCGCGCAAACCTGAGCCATTTTGATGTTACGTCACTTTTTGGTAGGTTTCGGGGAATATTTTTAATCGCTTCCGCAATATTGTTCTTCAGCTGCTCTGATAAAAGTCAGGAGTAGTTAAATCCGGTGACCTTGGTGGCCAGTTGACATCACCAAATCGAGAAATTAAACGTCCCGGAAATATCGTTCGCAAAAGATTCATTGTTTCCCTAACTGTGTGACAATTTGCTCCAACCTGCTGGAACCACATGTTTTGCAGGTTAAATTGTTGGATTTGAGGAAAGTTTTGCACCATATCACGGTAGCGCTTGCCAGTGACAGTGAGAGAATTACATGCAACGACTTCAAAGAAGTAAAGTCCAATCACACCTTCATACCAAACACCGCGATGAGGATGCAGTGGTCGTTAATGGATGTTACGAGGCTTCTCTAATGCCCAGATACGACAATTCTGATTATTAACCAATCCATTCTTATCGAAGTGGGCTCATTATCAGTTGTCTATAAAAATCGTTAAGCTGCAATATTGTATGACTGCATTGTCGGCGACATTCATAGTCACTAAGCTGTAGTTCTTGGGTTAACTGAATTTTGTATGGCCGCAAATGCAAGACTTTTTTTTTCAAATAGTGCATAATGACGGCCCGACCTTGGCAAGTCTTTAACTTCACCTGTTGGTTCAGATTTCCGTACCAACTGACGTAACAATCGACTTATTATTTAAGTAAAGCGTCTTAACAATACGGACGAGTTATAGGATCGTGTAGCGCTCCATGATGAATTGGACACATGTGCATTAAACAACTACTACGACGCCACCTACTGAAATGCGTGTGTCAAATATGGCGCGCAATTTATATCAGTCAGTTATATATTGGCCACCCTGTATTTGGTTGGCTATCATTTAACTGCTTATGAAAAGTTTAAACCATAGACCATCCATAGAAGAAACTAAACCCAAAAATAGTCACGCATACTTCATTAAATCGGACACTAGAACCGGCGAGGCTTCAAGAATCGCTGTGTTTGTCTCCCACTCCACCTTCCTGAGTTGGCATTGGTCTTGTAATATAGCCTCGTCCGATTTTGCCCAATAACAATTTCTTGAGATATATCAACGTGCTGTTCACGCCTTGTCAACGGCTGGTTATTGTTTTGGTATGTCTTTCTTGGATAGATCGACTTTAGTAGTTATCGTGGTTACATCAGAGTACTAGCTTGACACAAGAAAATTGATCCTTAAGCTATGTTTGTACATAGTCGCCATTTTTTCCATATACTTCACTCAACTGGCGATGAATTTCTATGGGTGCTAACGTTTCTGGTACTGAGCGTCGCCAGTAGACGGTTCTTGTTGGGATCATTGGTGAGAGAGCCGACAAACACGACGGTGTTGCCAGATTTCTCCTAGCATCACGCGCGGCAAGTTACAGCGTTGGGAGCCTTATTTTTTAAACAACCCTCGTATGCCGCAAAAGGCATAAGTAAAGAAAATACGTTGACGACTCTAGTACACAAAAGTTTCGTTTTAATTGCATACTGGTCTTATTATTGCTGACAAGCTGATTCAAAACTCGAATGACGGACGGCCCTGTGCTGTTGGTCTATATGTTTATTTCATTGATGATTAGTTACGTTGTTTTATTTATTGGGTTTTAGGAATATTAAATTTTCAATAGTAATAATGACAGGCTAATAATGACATTATTCCAAACAGTTTGTTGGTAGTTACCTTTTAACCGGAGTTATTTGCGACAGGATGGTGATACGCAATCCTAATGAACATATTTATCTATTAATGAAACGTGAATCACCAGATTATCAGTGCAGATATGTGTTACGAGATCTGAGTAGGTGCCTACCTTCGAACTACTATGACTTTCGTTTGCCATAGACTACTTTAATGTGTTTTAGAGTAACATATGTGATTTTTTTGTAATTGTCCATTTAATAAAAGTATTTATTTCTGTTAAAGTTTTTTTGGTGATATTAAGTTATAAGGATTTGATGTTTTTTTTTGTATCACATGAAATGTGTATAATGTGTAAATAGTAATACATATTTTCATTAAATATATTTTTTCATTTCATGGTTGTTTAATATGGTTGCCTCTCTGATCTGTCGTATTCTTCTGAGTTGATAAGTAGAACCGCATTTATACAACAAAGAATTTCACGCATACAGGATGGGCCAATAGTGCTCAATGGTCCATTGCTCTTAGATGTATTCATATTCTCCCGGTCTCCTATCAATAAAAATCTTAAAGGAGGTAAAAATCAAAATCTTATATTGTAGGAAATGATATCTCTGGGGCTCCTAACCCTAAAGACACTAGTCAAGTTCCGAATCCTCCAATTGTGATATAAAAAATATAATAAATGCATGAGCGGTAACAATAACATTATAAATTTCATCATTACGAATAAGTGGGATACCTACTTCAGCTCCAGTTATGTTCGGGTCTCGACTCAAAATAGAACAGGTGTAGTCTTCCCCGTCTCCCGGCCAAACCTACGAGTTCAAAGCGCGCCGCGAAGAAAAGCGGCAACCGCACCCTCCCTTTTTGATCCTGCCCGGCCCCTAGCCTACAAACTCTCATTCCTAAATCTTTTTCCACGCGGTACACGACAAGCTGCTCGAGTTCGCGCACGGATTTTTCCGTTTTCAGCAGTGTTCAGATGCCCAAACAAAATAAACGACAAAGGAGCACAGTACCGTTTGTATACCTCCTCGCGTTTCTATGGTCCTGATAGCAGCTCGTCGTCCACCAATTCTACGAGAAAAGTCTGGTCGGCAGTGCGACTTTCAGAAACATATAAACCTGTATCAGGATCGTAGAAACAGCAAGAGGTATCGATTCCATGGATTTGAGCTTCGTGTTTATCTACTAGCAGGAGCAGAGTACGATTTTCATACCTCCTCGCGTTTCTGTGAACCTGATAATCAGTTGCTAACG